ACTACCCCTCTGCATCCGAAATACCGTTCTCGATCACAAATGTAACTTATTGCATTTCGTGTATTTTTCACGTGATCAATCACGATATTCCGGTATCACAATACTTATATTAATTCTCTTACTAGTTACCTGTGTGATAAGAATTTTCTAAAACAAGTGAAAAGGACTTAAAATTAAACTTTGCAAGTTTTTTCTTATTTTTGGCATAACAGTTACATTTTCTATTTTTAAACAATTATCGGTTTACCATATTTAAAAGTTAAATAGCGTAGTTACCAAAATAATCATATTAATACTGTTAGTTGCAAGTTATATACTGCTTATTAATGTGGCAATCGTTCTGGGTAAAATTATTTCTTAATATAGAATCATATCAAATCGCGGATTCCTAAATCTGCCTTCCGTTCCTGGTTTCGCGTGATAGCTACCTTATTAGTAGACCTAATAGTTGCAAGGACCTTTAGCTGGGAAATCCAAATAAGGCAAATGACCGACCTATCGGTTAACCGAGATCGTAATAAGAATAACAGAAATAACAAATATAATAAAGATATCGGAAATACTTAAGAACCTTTAAGATACTACGGATTTTAGATCTCGGAGATTTATGATTTTCGTAATTCTTGGAATAATTGGAGTTTCAGAATTCGTACTACATCGGGGACCGCAGTAATTTCTGAGTAATTTACCCTTCCACAACATGCGTATGTAGATTTATAGATGAACACTGCGCAGGATCTGCGCGAAATCCCGTGCATTATCGTATTGGATTTTAATAAGATCCCTAAAATTCAGATCAGCCGGTCCGTATACCAAGAATGAAGTGATAATATACAATGGTATATCAAAGGGAAAAATATCGTTCCTTTGCAAAATCATAAATCCGATTGGTCAGTGTGCTGCTTTAAAAGACATGCTAGATGTTACAAAAAGAAATTCGTTTAATTTGTTAGTGTAGATCAATTTCCAGGTATGTAAGTAATTTATATATACATTTTAAGTATTTCAACAAAGTGTTCTATTCAGACTGCGTTTTACATTAGATTTAAATAAGTTTTATTATTAACTATTTAAATTGAATAGGAGTAAACTTATAATAGAAGACTCGAGCTTAATGTTTGAATACATTCGATTCTTGTAACGTGTTTGGTTCTGTCAATCGTAATGATTCTTAGTTTATAGATTGTATATTGCATTACTGTATTAAGCTTTAGTTTTTAACATAATAAATACTACTTTTGTCCACTTTACGTGAATCTGTCTATCTTTTGCATGTACAGGATTAATTTATTTGAATTCCTTCCTTGGTTTGTGTTAAATATTATCCTATGAAAGATTTCATTACTTAATTTATGGCAAGAACTAAATTGCTTTCCCAAGAAAACATGACACTAATTTCTAAAATTTACTAATCGATCGACTTTTTTTTTTTAAACAATATTATGCATCGTATTTTAATTATAACATTAAGATATAAATAATACTCTTGCAGCACTGTATATAATTATAAGATTGGTGTACCATGTAGATTAAATCAATTTTTTAATGTAAAGGTAAGTTGAGGGTTTGATGTTTGAATTAGGTAAGTAAATTTCTTTGTTAACGCCCAAAAGGTGATTTTAACCTGAAGCATGACGATAGTCATGTTGAGGTTATTATCGCGAGGATCATCACATGGATCATCACATGATCATCACATGTAAAAATAGGGCTAAGGCATATTGATTCCATTTAAGGTTAGGAAGGAAGTAAAGAAGAAAATAAGGAAAAAGGAGATACGGTATGTAAGATTAAGAGGAAAGAAGGAAATCGATTGTGCCTTTTTTCTTCGCTGCCTGACTTCTGTCTGGCTTTTTCGTAGTGCTCCCCGGTCCCTCGAAGAAAAAAAAAATTTGGTAAATATATCAAGGGTAAAATTATTTTGAAAATTATTAATGAACGCAGGAAGATAAATCATGAAAATTAGGGGGAAAATTGAATATAGGATGAGTAGCTTAGGGACGTGCTTACCGATGTACGAATGGGTTCGCTCAGTAACTTGCTTTCTGACACTCGCATACATACATATATATATATACATAAATGGTTTAAAAGTCACGGCACATCATGCGTGTACCCAATTCTCTTCGTTTTCGCACGCGACCATATCAAATAGTTTAGTAGCAAACATGTATATAAGTAGTCTGGTAGTCTGTAAAGCATATGATTTAAAACGGTGGGCATGTTAAGAGCCGCAACTCCCATTGTGTTTTATTAACTCAATAAATTGATCCGAGCGAGACGAATTGTTACACCAGGCTGATTTGTACGTTAAACCTGGTCTTAAATTTTATTGACTATCCCTTACACTGTTACGCAAGCAAGTTTGCTTGCGAGTCAGCAAATTACAATGGCATCATTAGACTAAATTATTTTGTTCGAGAGTCTTCAGAAAATGTTATTCTTTTTAGCACACAATCTTTTACCCTTGCTCACTTTTTCGAAAAATCTCATTTTGTACTACCTTAAAATGTTCGACATGTCTAAATATAAGGAAATCATTTATTACGTAAAAAGTCACATCATATAACGTGAAGTTAAACATTTTATTAGTTGAAAGTATATATTATTGGAAAATCATCGCATTGTGTGATGTGACTTTTTAAGTAATAAATAATTACGCACTTAGCCCATCTCTACTAAATATTAATAATCTTCGGACTTTTGATAGCCGGTATGACTGTAGAACTGCGCAAGTAATTTTTAGGACTAAAAACGTGAAGATGATTGAGTATCTACGTACCGGCAATTCGGCTTACAGAATAAGGGATAATTCCTTAGTTCCATGAAAATATTCCCAATTATATATTTTTTTTATAAAATACTACTGTAGCACTAAATACACCGTTCCTGGTTTCAGCGCGCAGCTATAATTTTGTTAGAAGATCTTTGATAAATAACATGTCTAATTTTTATAGAGCTCACTTATTCATATATGATCAGAACATTGTTCAGGATAGTAACAATAAGATATGAACTTATTTTACAAGCTGTGAACAAAAAAATTTATATTCGCATATTATTCAAAGGTAACTTGAAAAATTCGCAGATTATTCACATGATGCGCATCCAAAAAAAAATCAATAAAGAAGGGTCAAATTAAGTTCCAAAAGAGTAACAATAAAAATGCATATGACAAGGACTTATTAAATAGACCTAGAACATATAAACATGAGCATAGGAAATCTTTTTCGAATTATTAATAGCTCAATATTACCTCTGAAGTAAGATGTATTTTATTAAACACTTTCTATACTATATTTACACTTATTTCGGAATTATTCGTGTCTGAATTTATGAACTAAAACTAAAATCTACAGGTGCAGACTTATACTTCACTAGTTACGGCTTAATTGTGTTTTATTTTATAACCCGATTTTTTATATAAGACAGGATTTAGGAGAGACCGTTGATGTTATACAATTAATCTAACACCTGGTGTGCAACACATAAAATAATTATTTTATAATACCAGACCATTCCGCTAGTCATGTTATTATTCTGTTTTATTATAATCATAATATGTACTAGCGGAATGGTCTGGTATTGTAAAATAATTAATTTATGCGTTGCACGCCAGGTGTCGGATTAATTGTATAACATCAACGGTCTCTGCTGTAGATCAGGAAACTATGTTCTGTATTACGATCTTTATTAAAGATGTCAAGCTACATTTTGTTTATACATCAATCAAACTATATTACTCAATTATTTATCTAATATTTAATTAAATCTGCACCGTTTGTCTAACAATTTAACATGAAATTTGATGCTTGTAATGAAATTGAATAATTTTACTGTATGACATTGTATTATTACAAACTAAATGCATTTTTATTATATATACACATACACGATGTGCGTATGTCCACAATTTGAAGTCTGTTTTATGATGCCAACATAATGTTATTCTAGTCAATGATTCTAGAATATTTTGATTTTTAAAATATCGTAGATTACAGAATACGTAAACAAAGTGAAAAAAGGACAAAACATTATATATTATAAAGAATAATTTTCATCTATTACTGTATTAGAAATTAATTAATTATTTTTATTAAAAAGAAATTTATGTAATAAGCCCAAAAAAAAACAAATTAACGATTTTTCTTAAAACGTAGTACAATATAAAAACCAATTCGGAAAGCAATCATTAAACCGACAAGTGCCAACTAATTAAAAAAAAAAAAAAAAAAAATTGTTAAAAATAGTGTTAAAAATATTGAACTTGATTTAAGGATATAAATAAAGGTTTAAATAATTCATACCGCCCAAGTTGTAAGATTAATTTCGTTGTAACCATAACTATCCAATACATCTTTACCAGTAAAAGTCGAACTATTACCCGATAAATCACCATAATTACAAGCATATTTAATGGGATTATCAGAAATCTTATCACAATTAAAAGTCAAACCAATAAAGTCATTTTGAATAATGCCTTCGAAAGCCCATTTTTGATAATCTACGTAATGAAAAGGTTTCAAAGCTTTAGGAATTTTGTCACGTCTTACAAAGTAACCTTCGACAACCATGAAGAATCCATTAGCAAAAGCAACTAAAGTAAGTGCGGCAACGAAAATAGGGATGATTGCTGAAATAAAAACGACCATTGATTCTGCCACAATAAGTGCAAGGAAAAGATAAAGACAAAAGAGGATTGCATTGCCAAAGCCACTATTTAGTCCAATCATCGGGTAAGCCACAACAGTAAATGATGCGGCAATGATCATTACAAATGGAATAGAAATTATTGTATTAGCCAATACATAAGGTCCAACTGAATAAAAATTATTTCCACGTTCACGTTGAAATACTAAACGTTCTTCCAAGAAACCAGGTATACCAGCAACGCTCATAAAGGCAAGAAAAGCGACGGAAAAGAAATGTGCTGAAAATCGATCCTGAATATTCTCTTGATTATAACCAACTTGCCACCAAGTAACACCCATCAACAAAGCTAGACACACGTACATAGCAACACGGACCCAAAACATTAGAATGTTACGCATAGCATTCTTAAGTGAGCGTATGGTTAAAAACCAGGTCTGGGCAAAAAAACTACGAGCATAACGGCTAGTTGGACGAGAAAGGAAATACATATTAGGTTTCGAAAGACTACGAATTTCAGTTAAAGTACTAGAATGTGCTTTTGATTGTTCATAAGCTGTGATAAAATTGTCAATATGTTTTTCTGCTTCAGCTTTATCCGACATGAAATCGGAATTGATTAAACGAAGATAGTGATCTGCTGGATTCGCATAAGGTGGGCATACGTGGCCTAAGGCTTCAAAGTATGAAGTAGCATTTTCACGTTTACCAAAATATAGTGTATGACCTCGACCAATCAAGCATAATTTATCGAATAGAGAATAAGTTTCTGTTGAAGGTTGGTGAATACTAGCAATTATAGTTAACTTATGTTTTCGAGCCATTTCAACAATAGATTTCATAACATGATAAGCAGCGGCAGAATCAAGACCACTAGTCGGTTCATCCAAAAATATTATCTTTGGTAAGGTTATGACTTGAGAAGCAATCGAAGCACGACGTTTTTCACCACCTGACACACCACGTACGAATACTGTACCAATTTTATTGTCGGCTACTCTTTTTAAACCAAATTCATCGATGATTTGTTGTACCCGATAAGCTTTTTCATCTGGTTCCATATGGGAAGGAAAACTGCATACAAAAAGATATTATTAATAAAACGATAATTTTAACTATGGTATTACAATAATATTGACTATGCTATTATTATTTTAACCATTAAATTTATTTTGGCAGAATGCTGAAATTTTAATTTTAATTTTTTTTTTTTTTAAGATTAAAATTAATTAAAAAAAAATATATATTTAAATGGAGACCTCAAATTTTTATATCACCTGATTTTAGAATAACCTGCCACATTTATTATGTAATTATACTTTAAAAAACTTACCATAAATCAGCAGCAAATTGAATATTTTCTCGTACACTTAATACACCTGAGACAATTAATTCACAAGGTTAGAATTATTTCCAAATTAATAAAAACTTTATGATACAAAATTAAATACCCATCAGTGCATCATCTTGCATGACATATTGTGAAACGTATTTGACTTCACCCGGTACTCCATTAAGCATAATTTGGCCGGATACCATCTTTGGATCTTTTCGTCCTGCTAAAACATCCAATAAAGTCGATTTACCAGCACCAGATGGTCCCATTACTATTAAAAGATTATATTATCAAATTATTTATATTATGTGCGAAAAGTGAACTAAAAATTTTGAACAAATCACTTACTAGCCATAACTTCGCCGGGTTGAACAACACCAGAACATCCACTAAGTATATTTTGCTTCTTTTTTGTTTTTGAGTTGACTATTTTAAAGCCTACATTTTTCCATGCAAGACTAATCCCTTCAGGGTACCCGTCAGAAAGATCGTTTTTAGAGTCTACAATAAAATAGAAAAGTGTTTAGAATAAAAAAAAACAACCAAAAAATGTAATTATCCTTTTGTAAATTAAAGTATCATACTACCAATTGATACTTTAACATCAGGGGTGAATTTTCCTTCACTTCTGGCCATCGAAATCATACTAGTTCGAGTTGAAGCGGTGTAAGCAGTATGAGCATAGGTGGAATACCTGGTGGGATATTTGACTTCTGGCACAGAGCCATTATTGTAACTATTCTCCATCATCTGAACCATCTGAGCGGGAAGCATCTTGAAGAAATTGAATTATGATAAAAATAAAAATTTATTGTTGGTGTCAAATCTTTAAAGTTGAAGTTTTAAATAATTTTATTTCTTTAATTTTTATTTTTTAAATTTGCTTCAAGGAAGGTACGTAAAAATTCAAGTCCTTCAATTTTTATGGCACCGCATAAAAAATATTTGAAATAACAATATCGAGTAGAATTATATAAATTTTTCCTCGCAAATATTTAATAATACATCTGAATAATTCTGACTTGCTTCACATGTGATTATCCAAAGTTAACGGAAACAAACATTCAAATATATGACCAAAAAAGATACCAAATAAGAATATTACTAATAAATATCATTTTAAAATTCAAAAGTGCTTATTAATAACATTTCTTATTATTTTGCAGATTGTGATAACCGGATTTAAATGACTAGTTTTGAATATCCAGACAAAAAAAGATACTGTTACATACTGGATTTTCAGATCTACTCCATTATTTCATATTCGAAGCGATCGAAAATGAGCCGGTCATAATTTTATTACTATCACGTGAATTATAAAGTTAGAGTAAGAACTATCGGGAGAATTATTATAAAAGCGTTTGATCCCCTGTTTTTCCAATTATATCGTCATAAATTAGTGCTAAAACTTATAAAATCTTAATTTTATGTTTACTATGAGCATCGATGTAAACTATATTTGTAAATTATATTATATACATAGTTTAAAAATTAATTTATACTAAAATAAAATTTATTTACGCAATGCCCATCAAAAATCGGAGCACAGTCTTGAGTCGGAACTAATCAACAGGAGCGACCATTCAAATTCGTAGACTGATAAATAATTTTTTTTTATATTTTTTACAATGCTTCTTTTAAATGCTTGGGTAGCTTAACTTTCTAAGAAACGAGAGTAAATTTAACGGATGAATTAATGTTTTCTCTTCGCCTTATAACATATTTTTTGAATCCTCATGAATCCCACTTGCATCCTGATTGGTTGGAAATCTATCGGAATCATCTACGAATTTGAAATTTTGAACTAACTTGGATAGTGCTTGAATCCGTGCATGTCCGATTTTTTTAATCCGCTGGATTTTTATATCCGTTTACAAATTATCAACAGGAGGAACATCAATGTTACACAGCTAATCCCACACCTGAGGTGTAGCACATAAAAAATTTTTTACAATACGGGATCATTCTGCTAGTCCATGTTACGGCTATAATCCTTCACTTTCTGGATTAGTTGTGTAACATTGACGTTCCTGCTGTTCAAATTATCCGATGAATATAAACTCATCGGTCATTAAATTTACCGTCACTACGATTCGAACTCAGCATGTGTTCGAGTTTACTGTATTTCGGATGATCCAATTGATATCAAAAAAATATATCCGTCAGACAAAAAATAGTCGGATCATCCAACAGATTTTTCAACGGATCCAAGTACTAAACCCAGAGGTAATGCTACATGAATTTGAAGTCAACAATGGACGAAAGTCTAACATTAAAACTATCTATTACAGCTGACTCTAACACCAAAATAGTAGATTTTATTTAAGCTCGGCCTGAGTGGTAGGGTTCCAATTCTTTCTGCGGTAATCATATTGCTTGGAGTTGATTAACCACTTTGTTTTTTATTTTCATTTATTTTTATATATTTTTAGGTTCTTTTTTTTTGCATCTCACGATAACCCTACAAGCTTATCAATGGCAACCATTAGGCAGCCTGGTATACAGTATTAGCCTACTTGTGCTTCAAATATAGCTCAGACTTTGTGTCTTAATAAAGCGTAAATAAGAATCGATTTCTCAAATGGCTGTAGCGTTTTATGATCATATCATTTTATTAGCTAAAATATCATTTGATACATTTTCCATTCTTTTGTTACCTTTAATTTGTTATTATTCCCTAATTACCTAACCCAACTCTCAAGTGATTTAACCGATCAAATTAATCAATTGATAATCATAATATAGTACCAGAAAATGGTTTACCAACATTTCACTGACTTCCATTTCACTAACAACCATTTCTTTAAGAATATTTTTACTGACAAAACTATTTTTCTGACAATCATTTATCTGACAACCATTTCTCTAACATAGCAATTTCACTGATAACTACCTTCCTAACATAAACTACTTCTTTGACATTGTCTTTTCTTGATATTCATTTCTTTAACATAATCATTTTTCTGATAACCACTTTTCTGACAACTATTTTTCTGATATGATCATTTTTCTAATAATACTTTATTAACAATCATTTTTGACATGACTATTTCATCAACATTACTATTTTCCTTATATTACTATTTCCTTAATATGAGTATATTATCATTTCTCTAACATAATCATTTTTCTGATATTATTATTTCACTAACATACTATTTTTTGACATGATTATTACCATTTTTCTAATATTACCATTTACTAATATAACAATATTTCTAAAATATATCTGATATAACACATTCTAGTATGATTTCTTTCTAAATATTAATTATTTTTCTAATATATTTACTCTTTTTTAATTTTATCTATATATATATTTATATTTTTATAGTTTTATATATATATATTTTTTAAAAATTTTTATTTTATATTTTTTTTATAATATTTTTATAATTAATTTATTTATATTTTACGAAGTGTGGTGACCTAGTAAAGTGGACAGATTGTTAACCTTCAAGTGGCAGATCTAGAGTTCAAATTTCAGTGACAGCAAAAATTTATAATTTTTTCTGTATTATAGTTAACTACCTTTCATAATTAGTTGGAATTAGATACCAGTAACCCATGTTATACCAGCATAACTGGAAGGTTTAAGCATTTATACAATATTATATGAAGAAACATAATCTGGTACTAGATGGTGTAAATAAATAATAAGTTCTTAGGCCATTTAAATACAGAAACCAGATAAAAAGACAGAAGTTCACTTGGAAAACCCAAGTAAAGAGGTAGTTTAAATTTTTGATAGTATTATTGTAAAGACTAGAACTATGAAATGGAATTAAAATTTGTAAAGTTAAGTGAAGAGTTAGTTTTTAGAAAGAGGTCAAATAGAACTAATCAGTCTGTTATAATCTGTTCTAGAGAAATAGGTTACATGTTAAAGAATATATAAATTAGAGGTATAATTATAATCTACTTCTCTGGATTATTTGGTTTAGAAGCTTGGTGGAATTTGAATTGAATACTAAAGAAATAGAAATATGTTATGAAGTTAGTACCAGGATTGGATGAACTTTATAAGAGCATAACAGTTTAATGTTACATCTTAACTGTAAATATTAGTCTTGATCATAATAATATCAAATCAGTTGTAAGAATAGGATACAAAAGATTCTGAAAAGTTTAGTACAAGGTTAAAGATTTCTAATATGAGTGAACTGCTTTAAAAACTTAGTAATTATAGTATATTTTTACTAACATCAATTAGGTTTATTAGTAGACAGAGTTAAATAAGTAGATATAAAAATTAAAATGTTTAAATAAAGAACTTACAAGCAGGTTCTAGGTATAACAACTAGTATAGAACCTTCAGGTAGATTAGTTAAATTAGACAATTATTAAAGTTATATAAGTAACTAATTGTATACTTTTTCTATAATTGCCTTCTATAGTTATAATATAACTATTAGCCAAATATACTATCAATAAAATCTTGGCTTGCAAGTATTTGTCTTAATATTTAAAAAAAAATTTATTTATAATTTTTAATATATTTTTATATTGATTATATAAATATAAATAAATTATATAAAATAAATTAATAATATTTTTATACTTATTACTAAATTAATATAATAAAATAAAATAAGTTTAAACATACTAGTATATAAAAAAATATGAAACTTTAGATTTTTATTATTTATTTATTTATCTAATTTGGTCTAAAAATTCTTAATATTAATAATTATAAATATATTATTAATTAGATTTTAAGAACCAAACTAGTTATAATATTAAATAATAAAAATCTAAAATTTTATTTTTTTTAGTTTTTTTTTTTTTTTAATATTAATGGTGAGGCCATGCCTCTATCTTTATTGAATATTTAATTGAAATTTTACATAAA